GTAAATAAGCATTGGACATAAATATTTATGCAATAATTATTTGTTTCAAGATCTTCAGGTTGTCAGGGGTTTCAACTTGCTCTTAATGTTGTACTGAACAATTTTAAAGTGGTCAATGTTTGATGACTAAAGTGGTCATTTTTAACACACCATTGCATGTCGAGTGACTGTAATGGACTTAGAGTACCATCATATAGGTACCATTACTTACTTGTTGTAGTTCAAAATTCAACAAATACGTTAAAGACAGTAATGTCCCTCAAATTATCAACGCAAACCAATCAAAGCAGTTTTCCAGATATTTTTTTTCAGTATACAAATTGCTCTGTACAACACTAAATTAGCACATCATCAAATAACCGCCTCGGGATTTAACTCTGGGTACTCGACTGTGGGTACAAATCTTTCATGTGACCTTCTAAGACTTCAACTGGACAATCACTTTAAAAATGATAAAACTCTCTTTTGGTGCCAACAGCAATGATGTTACACTGTATCACATGAACCGTAAAGAAGCAAAGCTGAAGGAAAAGCATGTAGTGTATTTGTGATTGTCACATCAGTTGCCAGACTTCAACCTCTGCAAGAAGATTTGGTACGCCAATAAATGCATATTGAAAAAAGCACACCTAGCAGCCTGCTATGTCTAAAACTGTACGTAATAAATACAACTGTGGCAAAACATGAACATGCAAAAGATGATATAATCTGTATAATATTAGATAAAAGCCTCATCTGGGTACATTAATTTCTACTACTAGTAATTTCAATTTCCTTTAAAAGTATAAATATGTGCACACACATGTTATTTATTTTGTTCATTGAATTTCTTTTGTATATATAAGTAACAATCATTTATGCGTAATAATTGATACAAAACTATTTTTGAAATGGATGAATTCTTTGATTACAAACTGCAATGTATTTCTCACGAGGTGAAAAGTTTTTTATAGATGGCACTGTATATGATATGATCTCACGTGACGTTCTAGATTTACTCTGAACTCAAGGAAGACAACTCCCCGATAAAATACGTGATAAAACAAGGGGAAAACGTGTTCTCATTCTTTGCCGACTGAAGCTTTTTATCTTAATGTAAGAAATCTTACTCTTAGAGAATCTTTTAATTTTAATGTTTAAAGGTCAGTTCACTTATTCTTCTGTTTCCTATTGTAGCACAACAGACGGTAGCTTTTTATCTAAGTTTAAGATAACTTACACTAGAGAATCTATGAATCTATTCTCTTTATTATTTGAACTTACTTTTTTAAGGACACGTCAAGTCCTAAATACAAGATATTTAGGAAAGAACATTTTATGGACAGTTAAATGACAGTTTATGATTATTCATTTACAATTTCTATGTTCATGTATACAAATATCTCTTCAAAATGTCACCTAAATGTCAAGGCTACAGTAGACTAGCGAAATATTAACATGAAATAAAGAAAAGGAGCGCTGAGAAGTATTTAATTCTGCCAAATGTTAACTATTGTTACTAGTATTTCCGTATAAATATCAATATTTGCTTTTTAGTGCATATAACCCAATTACCAAATATTTATATAAAATACTAATTCTTAAACGGCGGCTATATCGTGTGGTCTTTCTATCAGGGGAGCTAACTATATGAGTCTTGTTACTAAAATAAGAATAAAGTCGAAAGAGTGATTGAACTTGACTATTAAGAGAATAAGGAATACTTGTGTTTAAAATATGAAGATTATTTCACTTTTTATATTAAAAAAAGTGACCTTACTTTTTGGCGAGTGCCTGTAGATATAATATAGTAAACAATTATGATATTACCAATGTTTGACTGTTACTAACAGTTACAATGTATAAACTGTATGTCCTTTAGTGCATAATTGATGAAACTTTTACACTGAATTTTACTATAAATAATGCTCACTCGATTTCACAAGTGGGTTTGTCAATGAAATGGTGAAAATAAAATAAAATGAGAAAAGATGGGATAGGATGGCATGGGATGGGATCAACTAATAGACGAATAACAAACCAACGAACAAATCAACGAACGAACGGGAAAAAAACGAAGGAAAAAAAAACAAACGAAAGAACGAAGAACGAATAAATTCAGACAGCCAATATGTCTTTGAAAAGAGATATTAAGAAATTTTCTTTCTTTCTTTCTTTCTTTCTTTCTTTCTTTCTTTCTTTCTTTCTTTTATTTCTTTCTTTCTTTCCTCTTTCTTTTTTTCTTTCTTTCTTGTTTCTTTCTTTTTTCTTTCTTTCTTTCTTTCTTTCTTTCTTTCTTTCTGTCTGTCTTTCTTTCTTTCTTTCTTTCTTTCTTTCTTTCTTTCTTTCTTTCTTTCTGTCTGTCTGTCTGTCTTTCTTTCTTTCTTTCTTTCTGTCTTTCTGTCTTTTACTATTTTTTCTTCTTCTTTATATTCTTCTTCCACCACCCCTGTATTGTCAATGAATGACTCATTAAACAAATATATCGTAGTGCTTGACTAAACTCGGTTCTAAATAAACCTCACTTATTAACAGTGCATATTCAAGTGGTATATATTAAAGGAATATGTATCATATTTTAAATAGGATTAAAATAGAGGAGATTACCCACGTATACTATATTTATACATTTAAAGCAAGCTGTACCAATTATTAACCATACGTACTTAACATAATCTGCATTTTTACATATGTACACATGACATCAAATAGTCCACAAGTCTATCCTTTTAAAAAAGTAAATGCTCATCATAATGCTAAGTATTTATGACATTTGATACTAGTATATTTAAAACTTCTTAGTCTAGTATTACAAAATGTGACATGTAATACTAGTATATATTATCTGTGACATTAAATTCTATCATAAACAATATGTGATAATTAATACTAGTATCTACAATATGTGTGACATTTAATACTAGTATAAATAAAATGTGATAATTAATACTAGTATCTTCAATATGTGACATTTAATACTAGAACATGTATAAACAAAATGTGACATTTAATACAAGTATATATTATATGTGTCAATTAATACTAGTATATACAATTTGTGACATGTAATTCTAGTATATACCATATGAGTATGTAGACATTTTGTATATTTTTATAACTAATAATTATCCAGTAAAAATTAATTTTCGTTTCAGGCGATTGTAATATTGAAAACTACATAAAGAAAGGGAAATTTGTTTTCGAATACTGTATTTGTCAAAAGGTTGCCTGGTTCTTGCGCACCGTTTGAACAGTACGATGACTTAGCGCTTAAAAATCACATTTTTTTTGTACTAGTGCATTCATATCATGCTAGTAGTTCACATTCTTTGTACATACCTCCCGATGTTTTAGTTTCAAGGTTCAGTACTCTTATGTACGTAATTGTATATAAAATGATGTATGCAGTTTTACTTTAATTCATCATCTATATATATAGAGATGTATAATAAATATACGTAATAAAAACATCATATATTACCATTTATACGTGATGAAAGAATATGTTCACCTAATGGTGTAACATACAAAATCACTTAACCCTCGAGTTACATTTACAACATTTCCTTAACACTAGAAATTTGCGTCAATAATCCCGGTGGACCAGAGAAATATAACAACATCAAGCTGGGTTAAAAGCAATATTCTGTTAATACGAATTCCGTATATTACAAAGTACCGTTCAATGGGGTAGAAAGGAAGGAGATAGCACTGAAATAATATTTTATACTTTTTTAAAAAGATCTAAAATATATAATGGTTTGACTCCTAGTTATAAGAAAATGAAATAATAAAAAAATGTGCAAATAAGCATTATTGACACAAAAACCGTGTATGTTTACATTGTTAAAAAACTTAATCATAGTCCGCGTTTCAATTCTGTCCTTCGTGAAAAAATTAACATTCTTGTTAGTATGGGCCTTTAATTTTAAGGCCTAAATTTCGTAAATCAAATTCTAAAGTAATAAGAAACGGGAAAAAACTTATTTACTCAAAACAGTAAAGCATAGCAACATGATAATAATTGCTCAAAAGCAAACATCAGGCAAAGATAGGAAAAGATAAATAGCAGCTAGAAACAGAATAATTAGGTATAAAAAATAATCAAACTGGGAGTTTTATTTTTTTTTGTATGAGAAAACGATAACGACAGAAGAAGAAAAAAGAAATGAGCCGCGTCACGACAAAACCAACGTAATGCGTTTGCGACCAGCATGGATCCAGACCAGCTTGCGCGCAGTCTGATCAGGATCCATGCTGTTCGCTTTCCAACCCTATTACAAGTAAAGAAACTGATAGCGAACAGCATGGATCCTGATCAGACTGCGCGGATGCGCAGGCTGGTCTGGATCCATGCTGGTCGCAAACGCACTATGTTGGTTTTGTCGTGACGCGGCTCAAATCTGCATTTGTTAGTAGTAATTTTCACCTAGTGAAATACAAATATGTTCAAAAAAGGGCAACTTCTTCAAAATCAAAAACTAACTCAGCAGAAGAAAACAGATTAAATACATTTTATTAGATACATGAAAGCATTGCAAAGACAAAATATTAGGTACTGTAAAATTTGAATTTTCTGTTAATAATAAACATTGACTTAAGAGCCACGTGAATGTAGTCAAAGGCAGTAAAATTGAAAATGCTGCAGACTCGAATTGGTCTTGCATTAGATAATTTTCATTCAAATACAAATGGTTTTTCGACCCTTTTACAATCTTAAAATAGTCAAAAATGGAAACGTAATGCCAAATAAGATAATATTGCAGACTCGGTTGATAAAAAATTGTTCGTGGACAGTAGTTTGACATTGATCCTCATATTACATGTTGTATGCATGTTTGAGTGAAAAAAAAATATGTTGTTGTTGTTGTTGTTGTTGTTAGTAAATGCAAGCTACCGTACGTGTTCCATACCACTCACCCACCTCCTCCCCGGCACCGCAATGCAATAAACTATATATCGACCACTGTTAGCCTCTGTATCAGACCATATATAGAAAATATAAACCTTGAAATGTCAGTGCAGTCTTTATCGTAACACATGTTACTAGTGGTTGTCACAAATATTTCAAGCGTGACACCTGAAACTTTCGCCATCCTACCGCATTTTTTACTTTATTCATTCGGATAAGATGGTTATCTGTTGTGGTATTTAAATAAACGACTCTTTTTTCGAAAGCATGGTATAAATGGCATAAGTTATCTTGATTAAGTTATATTACACTCTCATTTAAACTTGGCTAGATCTAAATTATTTTATTAATCATTTACGACTGTGACAGTCTGTCGTGATAGTTGTGTTTCTGGAAGATTAAATAAGAAAAATTAAAATAAAAAGGCGAAAGTTGTAATAATAAAAAAACGCGGGAAAGTGATTTATTGAACGAGAATTAAAAAAAGGATTTAAATTTTTATTTATTTAGTTGAAGATTATAAGCTAAAATGGCACGTAAAGTTCCGTAAGTATTTATTTAAATATCATATATAAACACTTTTACAATGGTATATCAGTGAAACATGTGGTAGCCTTTATTTACATTTACATTATACTATACTTAAATGTACATGTTGATATTTGTTAAAATAGTTTGCATTCTTTATAATCTTAATTACTTAATTTCAGCTCCAAATTTAAGGTGTTGAATTGAAACATTTTTATGTGTTATTTAAGCAAACTGGTTTATTACGTTTCGTCAACGAAAGTTTTTAGTTGTTGTTATTATTGTTTGAAGCAAATTCTTTGATTTCACATTATCAAAAGGTTATGTTATTAAGAAATAAGAATGTAATATACACAAATAAGTACGTTGATTGCAAATCTTTAAAAGTATGTGTTATTTCATTAGATATCCAGTTGTTTCTTAAGGGTAGGTGGCCCGTGGGATTACAAGTGTGTGAACTATATTAAACCACAAAGTGCAGATCAAAAGTAGTCAGTACACAATGACCGCCGTCTGATCATGGTCTGCACTTTTTTGCTATTCGGTCAGTACATATTATGAAATAAAGATTTTAAATGGTTTTGTCCAGATTAAAAGGGTTAAACTGCTTCTGTACATAGATAAACATATCATTCACTTAACGACCCAAAGTTTTAATCTTGTTCAGGGAGTATTTAACACACAGTTTATCAGTCCGTTTATCTATGAATAGCCAATGTTTATAAAACAACTTAATTAATGCGTCATTGATATAAATTAAATTTGGTATGCGGCTATCTAGGGCAGTACTAATTAATTCTATACTAAAACATTGTTTGCATTCTAAACAAAATGATAAAGAAAAACATGACATCATTTGGCTAACAGCAATAAGTACATTTTTGTATATACATGACAGCGTATCACCTGTTATTGAACTCGTTTTTTATTCGCATAGTTTATTTAAAATTATATATGTTTCCTGTTGAAACATATATTTATATCATCGTAAAACTTCAACAGCTAACATGGCAAAATGGACCTTGTAACCCTAGTGTGCGCTTAAACGCTCCTTAAGCTTAAATATACAATGATTAAATGTTTTATATGTGAATGTACTGTAAAAGTAGTCGGATTAAAGCGTTCGGTCTGCCCGTCATGCTGTTATACTTAATCAGACTCAATTGATTTTAAGCACGGATATTGGATACTGGTGGTTTGATATTATACTACCTACTCAATAAATCAATCTAACATCAAGGTGTTTGACTTTTTCCGCGATTTCGTTTCTTCTTTTGGCGAATAAATTACTAACTTACAAGCACAAGTTGATGTTGAGAAATAGTATTTATGATTATTAGGACCAGTAAACTCTAGCGTTGCTTAGAATATTTTCAAGAACTACTATTCCCTTTGCACATGAGTGTTGGTTTGAGTTTTAATTTTATTCCTATATCAACAATATTTCTTTTTGTGGACCACAGTGTCAACTTGTCTACTTTTTATTGATTAGACGAAAAATATATATTGAGGTGGTACCTCGTCTAGTCGCATTATTGACACCAGATTGGCCAGTGTTAGAACAATTCTTTTGATTTTGATAGCCATACTGAGATACTATATGTACCATTTTTATAATGGTACACGGCTGAACATTAATCCAGCAAATTATAGCTGAAATTAAATATTTCATTAGCTTAAAATAATTAGTAACATCTTTAATGGATCCAATCTCTTCAGTACCATAAATGCTTCTTGTTCCACATCCAGTTTTTTACTGTTCCCGCGCGGTGCTCAACTGGGTGACGTTTCGGTGGTTCTTTGTAACTAAATACAGTTAAGGCTACGTTCCATGCACGGTGATTTCCCTTGTTAACTTTTGTTCTTATATTGTAAAAAGAGAATAAAATGTATTATTGCAAACAGAGAATTTATTTGATGAAACATGTTGAGGAATGTTAAAAATGCCCCCACTAGATCGATGATTATCATAAATTAACGTCATTTTATATATTTAATACGCCACAGCTGTCAAAAAGAAACAAAAATTAACGACATACATGTTCGTGCATAACTATAAGTGTCAAAATTGTTTGACTTCGCATGTCTCTAAATAGGTAAAACAAGATATTTGTGTCTAATACTGACTTCCACTGACACAACGGACATAGATACAAACGTTTGTGTATAAAAAGAAGTATATGATGTTAAAAAGCCAATTATAAAAAGACAAAAGTGAGAAAATAGATCACTAGTGAACACATCTGTAACTTGGTGAACGGTCACGGTGTTAATGTCTTTACAATATTAGAAGTATACGCTGAAGTTGAATCGTCCAATATATCTTTTTGACATACATGTATAAATCTATGTCAAAGTCGACACTTCTAGGCTTTAGGTAGTTGGCCTATATTATTCATATTTAAAATTGCTATTTCTTTATTTTTTTATTTTAACTGTTTAATAGCCGGTGCAAGGGGTAGCATAATTATATTTAACACAGCCGCAATAAAACTGTGCCTGAAATATGTTCTATTTTGCTGAGTTTGGTGATCTTAAAAGCATAACCTCAGATTCTCTTTCTAAATTCCATTTTATTTAGTTCTGCCCATTGTTTTTACGTTTAGTGCACACGCATTCTTTTACTTGGGGACCATACGCCGCTTTTCATGGAATGGCACTTCTGAGTCACATTTAAGGTTCCATGATAACCGCTGTATGATCACATCTGCGGATGTTTCTAAAGACAAAATTACACCTTTTCGTGTTTAAATGTTGAATTCTGCTCAAGCCGGTGCTAGGGGGCGCGGACGGTAACTTGAACGTTCCAGTACCGTCCATGAACATGCTAAATTAAACCGACCCTGCAACATTTTCAATTTGGACGTGTTCTATATCTTAAACATCTGCGGATGTTTCTAAGCGCAAAATTTTGCCATTTTACAATTAAACCGGTGCTAGTGGGTGACGACAGGTTTTTGCAATTACCGCCACCATTCATTTAACAGACTCAATTAAACCGAGCCTCAAACAAACATTTTCAGCTTTGCCGTTTTGGCTTCCTTTAAGGATTCCGTTATTCTCTATCTAAAAGTTTTCAATTTTGACTTTAAGAAGACAAAACTAGCACTATTCTATATTCATTTTCTGCATGATGATGTTTTTGTGTGCAGTGATATGCAAGATGGTTTACATGACAGCAAGTTCTTTCTGGTATTTAGTCTGTTTCTTTCTTTTGTAACCAAATGTCCATCTAAGCAAATATGGGATGTGAAGGGGCATATAGACTGAGATTGTGTAAGACATTGCAATAAAAATAGTTTTTTAGGCAGGATCATGAAATCTTTGTTTTAGGCCGGTCCGGATTATTTTGCTCATATTTTACATACAATTATATATTACATTTTAGAGAAAAAAAAATTGATCTCGACTTACAGTTGTACATTTTGAAACATTAAGATGACATGATGTGCTGTTAAGCACATACGTGTATGAATTTTAAAAAAAACGTATAGACATAAAGTTGTCTAAAGCCTAGGGCAGTCGCATTATCGTAATGTATATTAGATGTATACTATTAAACCAACAAATAAAGTTTAATAATATTAACCATAATTATTTTCTTAATTTCTACGTAACGCAAATACTGACTCATCTTTGTTTTAATGTACGTCTATGGATAAATAGTAAAAACGGTATTTTTGTATTTTTATAACATAAAATATGCATGACGTATCAATGCCTGACAGGTAAAAAAACGTGAAAACATCGGGGACATTTTATTTTCTTAAAGGAGTATTTGTATTGAAAGTGAAAGCGGTTTAAGTATTGATTCAGTCATATGTTGATAGAAGGTTTATGGTTTACATAAAACGCCCATGTGTTCTTCCGCACGATTTACGAAATGAAAATGTTTATTTTGTATTTAAGAAGGTTTGCCTTATATGGGTATAATACAAAAAGCACACACGATTTACGTATTTACCAAACACTCTAGATATTTCATTTTCCTCAAATGTTTAATGAACGCACCAATAATTATGTGTAATTGACATAAGATTTGTTGCAATTTTGTGATAAATTAAATGAATTTAAATTGAAATTTCGGGTTTTATGAAACTTACGTACTGAAGAGTTTTTTTTCTGTGTAAACGTTGGTTTGCAACGAAAGCTATTTGTGGTAAAAGATCTAAGAAATCCTAGCACACATTTAATTGTAATAATAATTTAGTTTGGATCAAGTTACGAAGCAAATGATGAAAGTATATGAATTTAATTTGGTTTGTTTTATATAGTAACAATTTAACAATTGTTAGTTTCAATGGTGTTGTACAATTTCTAAACAATTGTTTGATTTAAAGTTGTAGTTTTGCAAGAATGCCTTTTGCTTGCACTAAATTTGCATAAAATGAATACCGTAATAGTACGTATGTGAAATAAAAATGTATACTAGTATTACTATTATGAAATATGTATTACTATTACCAAGTCTGTAATACTATCTCCAATTGGACATTACTATTTCCACGTATGCATCACTATTATCAAATGTGCATAACTATTACTAGGAATTATATTTATTTTTATTTATGACAAATATTACAATTACTTAAATATGTAACCGCAACTAAAACTGTATCACCATTACTAAAATCATGAACATTTACCAAAAATACTTTGGACTATAATTAAATTCATATCATCCGCTTTATTGCAGTTTATTTTATTAGTGTTATCATCAATAAGGCAACATTCTTTGCCATTGATTCATTTTTGAATGAAATATGTTATTTTATAAACTTAGAGAATATTTCTTTCACTTAAAAGTATTTTAAATACTTTGAAGGCATTGCTATTACTAAAGTAATGCATTCAGCCATTTGCATTATACTAAATATAAATTATACATGTATATCAAACGATCATTTGACACATCGTCAAGTACATGATAATATCTTATTATAAATTACATCATTTTTGTTCTGTTCCTTGTCAAATCGCTTCAAGGGACAATTCAACGTGAAATTTTAACGTTAGTG